ACACGAAAATGGTTTTTCTCCGGTATGTAATTTCATATGTGTTTGCAAATCACATTTTCTAATACATTTATATTCACAGATATTACACGAAAAAGGTTTTTCTCCGGTATGTGTTTTCATATGTGTTTCCAAATCATATTTTCGTATACTTTTATATTCACAGATATTACACAAAAAAGGTTTTTCACCAGTATGTATTTTCATATGTCTTTCCAAATTAATTTTTTGAATACATTTATATTCACAGATGTTACACGAAAAAGGTTTTTCTCCGGTATGTATTTTCATATGTGTTTGCAATTTACTTTTTTGAATAGATTTATATTCACAGATATTACACGAAAAAGGTTTTTCGCCGGTATGTAATTTCATATGTGTTTGTAAATTATATTTTCTAATACATTTATATTCACATATATGACACGAAAATGGTTTTTCTCCAGTATGTATTTTCATATGTATAGGCAATTTACTTTTTTGAACACATTTAAACTCACAGATATTACACGAAAAAGGTTTTTCTCCGGTATGTAATTTCATATGTGTTTGAAAATTATATTTTCTAACACATTTATATTCACAGATATTACACGAAAAAGGTTTTTCTCCAGTATGTATTTTCATATGTGTTTGCAATTTACTTTTTTGAGTACATTTATATTCACAGATATTACACGAAAAAGGTTTTTCTCCGGTATGTAATTTCATATGTATTTGCAAATCACAATTTCGAACACATTTATATTCACAGATATTACACGAAAAAGGTTTTTCTCCAGTATGTATCTTCATATGTCTTTCCAAATTAATTTTTTGAATACATTTATATTCACAGATATTACATGAAAAAGGTTTCTCTCCGGTATGTATTTTCAAATGGTATAATAAATTTTTTTTAATTGCACTTTTATAATCACAATTATCACAACAGAACACTTGTTTAGCGACGTGCGCTCTAAGATGAGCCAAAATGCAACGTTTACGAGATGTTTTAAATTCGCAAATATTACAATTAAACATTTCAGTTAGTTGTAGTACTGGTGTTTGTTCCACTTGTGTCAGAACTGTAGTGATGTCTGAGTTCTTTTGCGTCTTATGACTGTGTGAAATGTTTTTGACGAGAATGTCTTTTGTTGAACATTGTTTGCTATAATCATCATGTTCAAAATTGTATTTTGTTAATGCTCCTGATGATTTTTTCGTAAGTAGATTTACACTATTTTGTTCTAACATTTTCTTTTTCATAATCTGTGCAGGATGATTCCCATTTTTAATATCTGGTTGACAATCTTTTTTCAGGTTTTCTTTACGAAAATCGTTTATGTTACAATCAGTAGAATTTGATTTATTTGTTAATATGCGGCGTTGTTCTGAAATACACACAAATTAAACATTTTATTTATTGTAAGACACCTTAGACAATTTACAATGGGCGGAGTTTATAACTTATGGCGTTCTATATCAGTCAAACCAGGGGGAAACAGAGAACTAAATACTCTGGATAATGCCTCTCATATTCATTTTTGGGGGGAAAGAATGGTAAGGAAACTAAATTCGAATGATAATGATGACGTTCTTCTAACCATGTTATAATTACATTAATCTAATAATCGCTGTTTCGAATCCCACACGGAAAAAGTGTTATATACATAAATTTTGACCAGTATTTTTGAAGAATATAGTGGAAGTTGCCGTGTAGGTGCGGCGTAAGAGAATTCATCAACATATTACTCGTATGTCTCGTGGGTTTCATAAGTGGCGACTATGGGTTTGCCAGAAAAATCTTATGGCTTCCGACAGATGGCGCTATAGTGTATCCTCCTCATTTACTTCAGATGTAAATAACCAAACCGGCGACAGACAACATTGTCAGAAGTGCTCACGTGAAGACAAATAGTCCCTACCATGGGAGAGATTCATCCATGTTCAGCACTGCAAGTTTACGGGACGGTTAAGGTGGACCCAATTAAAAAAGACTAAAATATCTCTGGCAGCTCAAGTGCTAGGAGTTTACCGTAAAAAATTACAGTACTACTCGCGTACAATACCCGGGTTCCATTTCCGGCATTTCTGGCATCCTTAACCTTTTGAGCGCCACGCCAAAAACTCACTACCGTGTCCTGTACGCCAAAGCGAAAAGTAAACAAAAATACCTACGAAAAAAACAGTGCTGCCAAGAGTTGATATATCGATTACACAAAATAACTTGTTTTTGTTGGTTTTTTATACAATAAATGAGTCTTTATAATCGGGTATGTTTTATTTAATCTTGTGCTGTCTTCCACTCTTTTTATATATGTACTTTGTACATAAATAAAAAACAAACAATAACAATAAAATAGTAGTAAACCACAACACTACTCTCCGTCGTGATGACGTCACTGTCACGACTGGACGACAACGGCGTAGCTGACCTTTCTTTTTGAAACTTTCTTAGAGATGTAGCCGTGTCGCACGTTGTGTATCGATTTCAAAATCGATGTAACCAAAATATACAGACATCTATTCAAAATATTTTATGGCAAGGCGTAGGCCAAGTGAATCACAGAAGAAAAGTCTTACGCTCTTATGATAAAGGGGGTTTCATATGATACTGATGTTGCTAAATGATTTTGAGATTGAGAAAGAAAATCGCACAACACAAAATGAAAATTGCTCTTCATACCTTAAGTAAAGAAAACACATTTATTATTTGTAATTTTATATTATTAAAATAGAAAAGGTACGTAATTATTCACTAATCAACAACTGTATATAGGTAATTATTCGCACTAGAAAAATCAGTCTTATAACATTAAAATCTTGGTCATGGAATAAAAAAATCAGTACTTATTACAGAAATCAACAAAGGGTACATAATTATTCAACAATTGTAAATAATTATTTGCACTAGGTCTAGTCATAAAATATTAAAATCTTGGTCTTTAACTCAATCAGTACTTAATATAGAAAACAACAATTAAAAATAATTAATAAATTATAGGTAATATTAGTCTTAAAATAATAAAAATCTTATGGAATAATAAAACATAAATGTTTAGCTGGCCAAAGCAAATTTTCTAACGTGGTAGAGCCATGCTGCAGTTATATTACGGGAGTTAGTAGTTGTAGCACGAATGGGTCGGCTCAACCGGGGAAGAACCACGCTCTCACGGAATATCGGCATCAAATAGTAGCTTAATGCTGCTGTGTTTCGTATGGTAAGTGTAGAGAACCGGAGACCCTCTTTACTGGAAACGAGGCATTCCATCTAAGTCCTCACGGGTGAGAGCGCATCTGCATTTTGATTCGTAATCGAGGATAGATGTAAATGTCTATGGGCCACAGCAACCACTTACCATCAGGTGGACTGTGTGCTCGTTTATTACCCTATGCTATAAAAAAAGAAATTAACCGTAAAAAGACTATAAAGTGTATTCCTACCTCATTGAGGTAGAGTTAATCGAAAACGAAAAACTTTGGTTTCACGATAATTTTAAATTTCCGAAAATTCATCATCGTCGACGCTTTCCAAAATCCGAATGAGTTCTGAGGAATCGTTCATGTTGCACTGCACTAATTTTCCCGCTAATCGCTTATGACGTCATCAGTGTGTCGTCTATACTTGACCACGGCGCCCAGTGAACTGATTTTCGATGTCGCGCTAAGGATGCGCCAGAGTTGAGATATTAGATTTATTATGCGAAGATAATTTGTTAATTTTTTTTTAATTTATGTAGCTAATTATAGTTTTATATTTCTAACCTTTTGTTTTATTTAAATATCAATAATAATAGAAAAAAAAATAACACGTTTGAGCTTAATTTTGATAGTTTTCAATAAATTTATGGCTAACGCATTACAACACTAGCGGTCTAACATAGACGACTTTGGCGTGCTGGACACAGTATTTGCTTAGATAAAAATCCATTTTTTTTTTGGTTCAATGTTTCTTAGTACTTGTGGCTCTAGAAGACTTGTTTTTTATACTCACATGTTGCTGGGTTATTCTTTTTTGAGGGGTGTAGAATTAAAATACCAGTAATAATTTTCCAATGTCTATATTTCATATTTTTGTGGGCCGGGTTTTTTGTCATCTATAGACGTCGTTGGCGCTCAGGGCACGCGGGTGCTGGTCACGTATAGACGACTTTGGCGCTCAAAAGGTTAATATTGTTCACAAAACAGAATTCAAATAGTTTTGCAAATTTTTGCCGAATGCGGCCATTTTAGATGATTTCACGAAAAATTTCCGAAAGAGAATCATGCCTTTGCGTTGTTCAAGAAAATATACAATTAATTTTCTAAATACTAAAATATCCGGACGTTATTTCTAATTAGAATTTGTGGAAGTTTGTAAAACGGTAGTATGTGACATGAAATGAGAAACGTTTATGTTACGAAAATGCGAGATATGTAAGACTAAAGTTCAGAAAATAAATCAATTAGATGACCCGACTGAGACAACATACAAATTATGGACCGCAAAAAGAGAAAACGGATTGCTACATGACAAGGAAAACTAAATACGTGGAACTGTCAAAGCTGAATTGAATATATCTAAAAAAAAAAAACATTAAGGCCATTAAAGTTTCTTGAAGCCTTGTATAAATTTTGGTACACCAATATTACATAACTCTCCAATACATGGCTACTACCTCACTAAAGAGCCATCTTAAAGTAAGAGAAATATTCATGCAAGTAGACTTCTCAGAAAATTACTGCTGCAAATATTCCAACGAAATGCAAACAGTACATTACGGAGCGACGAGGCAGCAGATTACTCTACATACCAGCATATTTTACTACAAGTGCCCTCATACCCAGGAGTTTTAGAGTAAATCTTTTTGCACGGTTTCGGACTGTTTGCGACATGACGCCTGTGCAGTTTTTGCTCACATGCAGAAAATTCTTGATCAAGTACATTTGTCACATCCTATGGAGACAATGTACCTCTTGGGAGATAGTCCAATAGCACAATATAGAAATACAAGGGCATTTTATTTGTTTACACAACACTAATGGAGGGATATGGGCTACAAGTTGAGACATGGAATTTTAGCGAAGGCTGGGTATGGAAAGGGGCCTATGGATGGTGTCGGAGCGGTGTTAGACGCACAGCTGACCGCAAAGTCGCTCAAGGTAAAGATATACCCGACTTTGTTACCTTAATTAAATCTGTAGAAACAAGTATTACTAATGTGGAAGCGATTTTGAGATACAGATAAAAGATTCAAAGCTGCGAGAAATCGATGTAATCAGATAGTACGAGCCGCTAAACGCCGCTATATTCACCATAATATCATGAACTCTTCTATGGCTATTACATGAAAATTTCTCCGGACGATCGGGGTCGGTAAACCTACGTGTAACGTGGACCCTGCAATCATTTCTATAAGTGATCTAAACTTAATTTTTCTTCAACTACCCAAATGGAGGCTTCTGTTAAATCAAGTACTATTTTTTATTTGAATTCCATGCCACATTCTCGTAACTGCACATTTAATTTTTCTCCCGTTGCTGATGAGGATATTAAAAAGATCATCTATTGTATTAAGTCTATGGCAGTTGGCTTCGATGATTTGATTAGACTCATGATCACCTTAATTCTAGACAATGTTACTCCTGTTATTACTCACATCATTAATCATTCACTATTGACTGGAAATTTTCCTACACTTTGGAACAAAGTATTTGCTATTCTGCTGCCAATAATAAATAACCCCAGTTCTTTCTCTCGCTTTCGCCTAATATCTATTCTCCCTTTTTTATCTAAAGTTCTTGAAGCTATTATCCACAAACAATTTTCTTGCTACATTTTCAAAAATAATTTTCTTAGCATAATTCAATCTGGTTTTAGGCCTGGGCACAGTACAACCACAGCTCTTTTGAAAGCTACAGAAGATTTTCGTACTGGAATGGAGAACTCAAAATTGACTGTGTTAGTCCTAATAGATTTGTCTAACGCTTTTAACGTTGTCGTTCATGATATTTCCTAGGTGTACTTTGTTACCTGGGTTTCTCTTCGTCGGCATGGGACTGGTTCTCCTCGTATCTTCGGGGTCGTCAGCAGGCTATTCAAGTGGGTCAGATCGTCTCTGATTGGTGCTCGTTGTCTGCTGGCGTTCCTCAAGGCGGAATTCTCTCTCCTCTCCTGTTCTCAGTCTTTATAAATCTCATTACATTCCACATTCGCTGTTCGTACCATCTGTATGCTGATGACTTACAAATGTATGCTCAAACTGAGATGGCAGGTATCGATGATGTGATTAAGAAGCTTAACTGCGACCTTAACAGTATTTATTATTGGTCAGACAGATTAATCCATCAAAATGTCAGGCAATTGTGGTTGGTAGTTCTCGTAGTTGCCTAAAATTGATATGAAGGTGCTACCTCCTATAATTTTTAATAATGTTACTATTCCTAACCCAACAACTGTTAAAGATCTTGGCTTAGTTATTGACAACACCCTCACTTGGCGACCGCATATATATGAAGTGAGTACAAAGGTCACTCACATTCTCCATTAGCTGTATTGTCTCAAGAATTTTTTACCGATCGGGACTAAGGTGATGCTAATACAGACTCTAGTGTTGCCTATTTTAGATTATGCAGATGTTTGCTATGCTGATGCCTCTCAAGAACTTCTAAACAAACTGGATCGACTTCTTAATAATTGTATATGCTTCATTTTAGGTTTACGAAAATACGACCACATCTCCTCTTAACGTTCTCAGCTTAAATGGCTACCTCTCCGCTATCGCAGATATTTCAGAATACTGTGCACATTATTTTCAGTTTTACACGATCAGTTTGTCCCTGAATATCTGAAATGTAAATTTCAGTATCAGGGTGATTCTCATAACCGTTGTCTCCATTCTGCGGAAAAGTCTAATCTCCATGTCCCCCTCTGTCACACAAGCTTCTTGTATAAATCTTTTACATCTCATGCGGTAAGATTGTGGAACGAGCTACCGAGCAGTGTACATGCAGCCACGAGCAAGGCATCATTCAAAAGCTTGCTATGGAATCATTTTCTGGCGTTGCAGGAGTAGTTTGTCAATTAACATTTTTTATATCCTTAAATTCTAACTGTTCCCTTTTCCTGTTCTTATTTAAAATATTTTATAGGTGTTTGAATCAGAAACAGCTATATTTAATTATGTATGTACTATATATATAGCATATTAGGGCAGCATTAAGCATATATATGTATATATTTATATATCTTGTATGTATATCTATATAATAATTATGTTTATAACATGTAATGCAATATGTAATGTGTATGACTACTTAAAGATGTTTTAACTCAGTTGCACCTTGCACCCACAATATCTTCTCTGCTTAGCCTGGAGCTAGACTGGTAGAGAATGCCTTGTTGCATTAAGTTCGTCTTTTTGTACTCGGTGTGCAAATAAAGCATAAATAAATAAATAAATAAAGGACATAGATAAACTATTATCTGATCAAAAAAGAGCATTCCAGAAACTTTGAAAATTAATCAGGTTACTTGAGACACAATGAACCCAAAGAGATTTTATTTGAAAAAGTTGACTTGTGTTACATATAAACCTGATGAAATGTGTCCTCATTGTTCAGTAAAGAAAGGCTTTTTTGATTTCATCAGTAGCGCAGGTTTTGTCGATAATCCAAGACCTAGTGCAGAGCCTCGGAATTCGTTGAATCAACAAGATGTTCCATGGCCTCCTATACATTACAACAATGTTCTGGAGTCTGGAGCAAATGAAAACGATGATTTGAGTTCTGAAACAGATGCAAACTATGTTCCGGAGTCTGAAGAGGATGAAAACCAACCATGCAACTCACAAGCCTTTGTTTTAAAAAAGAAGAAATGTGAGTAGTCGCAAGCTTTTGATCAAAGTAAACAGAAGAGCATATCGTTGATCAATTTAATTTGATGGCAAAGAACCAAAAGTGAAATTCACAAAAAAGAAAACAACTACGAAAGATCACATTACCTTTTCTTTGGATAGAACATGAAGATATATTCCCTGTTCCACGTGACAATATAACTGCTGTTTTAACCAAACCTACACCTGGTCGGCGCCAAGAATCATTATTTAATAATTTTGAAATATAGAAATATTATACAGGATGTTAGTCTAAACACCGTTATCCTTGAAACCAGTGGTTTGGTTTCACTTATAAAAAGTGTAAACTGTACCTTATTTTAATATCACAAAATGAGTATATCCTTACCTGTTTCATGATTTCCATTTTCTTCAAATTTGTAATTATCATTTTCAAAATTCTCTTCCTCAACTTTAACAGATTCAAGGCTAAAAATTTCGTCCTTAGAATCATCTTCTGTATCACGCTCAACTGGCCTGATGTCTATATGATGAATTGGTGTGAATTTAATCTCATATCTAGCCTCATGCGGTTTTGGTATTGACTGAAACCAAATTATTTTTGAAATAAGGAAAAAGGCCAGTGAAGTAAAAAAGTGTAGTGGTGACGAAGGAGAATCCATATTACCCCATACCATACCGCGATGTGGTAAAAAGGGACAGAGAAAATTGAATCAGGAGATGGGCAGCAGCATCTTCCTAACAACTACTCCAAATAATATTAAAAACCCGACAAAAATGGGAGTTCCGAATAAACTTAAATAAGAATGTAGGTAGGTAGTTCATCCATCCAAAGAATCAATATTCAACAATTTATCACAAGAATTAGAACAGTATAATATTGCTGATCGCGTAATGGCGGTGCAAGAATAATCACTGCCCTATACTTATACCTGCCCCCGGGACGGGTGTCGTAAGAGCCGACACAGGGAAACAGAAACAGGAGTTGGGCAGCAGCATCTTACTGATAACAACTCACATTAATATAAACTGCGGTCGCCAACCAAATTTGTCAAAATCCCTCCTACGAAGCAATGTATGAGAGAGGTCTGTGTTCCGCAGTGGACTTTTATAGGTTCTAATGGATGTGAAATGGATAATACCGTGGACCCTCCTGAAAGAAACTGCTCCAGAACTGCATTTGACTCAATAGCCTGTTGTTGCAATCTCCTGCAACTAACGAGTCTTGCATGACAGGTGAAACATATAATTATGGGCTCCTCATCCTCATCCATCTGAAAATATGAAAGTTCGTCATAAATATGGGAAACTACTTATATACACAAGTTTATAATATAATCTATTGGCTACCATATTTCTCTTCTACAACATCATTTTTTTATAACATTGAAGTGGCAAATGAACTTACAATCCATCTGATGGTTAGTAGAATAGAATAGAATTTTAAATTAAATTTTTTATCAATATAGATTACATGTAATTCTTATTAAGTCATTTTTTATTTTAATGCTGGTTCGGGAAAAAAACATCTGTTCTGGGAAGAACCAGCAAGACACAAAGTGGGACATTTTTTCAAAAATAAATTTCACAATGTGAATGGTTACCAACTATTTACTACCTATACAGTTAAAGAATGGAATTGAAAATGGCTGCGCATCGTCGATCATCGACATCGTCATACATTGCGATATGCGTTTTTTGTATGTTCTATAACTTCAGTGCAACTTGTCATTGAAATCAATATTAAAAATGCCATAAACCACAAAGTTTTGCTCATTTGTGAGATAATGAGAGTTCTCTGCATTATTGTTGATTTTATTTGTAATTATTTTTGTATAAAATACTTGCATGGCATGCAGACAGACATACATAGCCATATTGAACATTTTTGTTTGTTTGTTTGTCAGAGCTAATCTTTTGAATGGCTTAACCAATCGCAATTAAACTTCACTAAAAAAGAGTGACCAATACCAAGAGTGTTCTTGGTATTGCTCACAATTTCAGACTCTATTTTATCCGTAAAATTTAGTGATTTTATTATATTTATGAAAATCACTAAATTTTACAGATAAAATAGAGTCTGAAACTGTGAGCAATTTTCTAAATTTAGTTCATTTGCTTTATCTTATCGATATTTCTATTCAAATATCGATAAGATAAAGCAAATGGACTAAATAACGCCACATTAATAGATCCCCGCAGGAGAAGCCAGAGCAGGTCGCTAGTTATAAATTTAATTTAAAATTAAAATACCTACTTGCATGTACATTTTCTTTTCAAATATTTTCTCATTAATAAATTAATAAATAATTTCCAATCAACCGAATAATATAAACTTATAACAATGTATTGTTATTAGCAGATTCTCATTATACGTGTTAAACGGGTATTTGGTATTGGGCATGTTGACGATATGGGCTTAATGAGCTGCCATTTTTGATCCCATACTTTATCCGTACGGACTACATGAAATTTATTTTAGAAACAGCTTGGCAGCAACCACCTCATTCCCAGATATTATTATCAACCATGTATGCACTTATATTATAATAAACCTTTTTATATAGCTTTTATTTAAGTTTAACTAGCCCATGGGCTCCTGCAACAAACCTAAAGCAAATGCTACAGATGCAGTGTTACCTTTAAGGACTAAGATATATGTGGCAGAGCCATGCTGCAGTTATATTAGTAGCATAGTTGTAGCAAAAATGGGTCAGCTTGACTGGGCAAGCACCATAGGAATACCAGAAGGAATACCAGCGCAAAATAGTAGCTTAATGCGTTTCATATGATGAGTGTAGAGAACCGGAGACCCTTTTTAATTGTAAACGAGCCATTCTATCTTTGTCCTCACAGGTGACAACGTATCTGCATTTTGGTTCTTAATGGAGAATTGATAGAGATGTCTACAGGCCACATCAACTACTTACCATCAGGTGGACTGTGTGCTCCTTTGTCCCCTACCCTATACCAAAAAGAAAGGATGTAATACTTCACAGCCTGTTATTATACAGGCTCTCAACATCCTTCAGACTGAAGCACTTACTGCTGGTCTGTAGAGGAATAGCTAAAATGAAGATAACCACCCAGACAGACTCCTGGGCACACAAAGCTCCTACCACTCAGTGAATCATCACCACAACAACACAGTCCTAAGCCACCTACATACATCAACTTCCTATCTTACCAGATCTCCACTATCTAGTGGGGGCCCACTCCATATTTTTCTTACCAGTATGAGGCTACCACGCAAGAATTATGTTTCCCCATCTGTTGTTAGTTCAGTAAGCTATAAGTACACAATACTCTAGAGTCTGTAGAAGTCTCCATGAGATTAGCAAATATAATTTTAAAAGCCGTAGATTCGGAGGCATTTTCAAGTTTTGGCTTTCAAAATTCAATCTTACTAAACCTACTTTCAATTTTTAACATTTAACTGCTAGCATCACTATTAACATTACAAATACTTCTCTTATTTGCTCCAAGTAAACTGAAAATGCTTGCGCTAGTAGTAATTTACAACAATCAACAAATAGCAGATTTGAACTTACTATTTTCTTGAGTTTGCAGTTTCCACCCTCAACTATTAGACCACTGTTACTTAGTTTGAAATGGAAGAACAATAATATACATTAGAGATGGGCCGAATATTCGTTTTATATTCGGTATTCGGCAGATTTACCAAATGTTCGTATTCGGCTAAACCACCGAACATTCGTTTTCATAGTTCATAGTTGAAATGTACGAATTGAGTAATGCAATGTCTTTTACTGTTGAAAGTATATTATATTTATGGGTTAAATCTACTTACTCTTGAGTAGTGAATGCAATCCGGATTCTTCGAAATTCGAAAATAACTGAAAAATCCGGATTTTCCAGAGTTTTATAAATCCGGTTTTTAAGACGCAAATCCGAATTTTTCGGATTTTAGTGAAAATGGAGTTCAATGGATAATATTTTGCATTTATCCACAAATTTTCATTCTAATGAGTAGTTAGGTATTACCTACACTAATACGCAAATTCGAGCAATATTTGAATTGGATAGTTATATACAGCTCATAAATTTTTTATAAAATCATTAGACAGTCAAGACACAATGTCTGCCAGGCAACTGGCAACGTCATTGAAACGGAGAATTAAAGACAGGTGACTATAATATTGTCGGTGCCTTACAATTACTACCCAATCCTAATCAATTTTTAAATGAGACTAAGTAGGACGAAGATAAGTTTAAAAATCTACGTATGATGAAATTAAAAATTTGATTTATCAAGCTGCAACCCTGGATGTTGACGATTGCACGACCACGTCGATTAATACAAACTCTATTTCAGAAACTCTGATCCATCGCCGCTCAGTTTTAAAGAAAAGCTCAATCGTCAACTTTCTCTTGCAAGTGTGGGTAGTGATCATCGACACCAGTCAACGAGTGTAATCAGCGCAACTGATTCACGTTGAAATGGCTTCATTTGAAAACGGTGGAAGTTGTGGAGAACTCCTAAGATCTAAGATCTCCTTTTCTAAAAAAAGGGTGACTAATATATGTGCACTAAATTATATATATGTAGCCCATAGCCCTTCCATAGCTTGCTGAGCGACCTTGAGCATCCTCATACGGCCAGCAGTAAAGGACCATGTTTCAGATCCATAAGTCACCACTGGCAACACGCACTGGTTGTACAGTCCCGTTTTTAGGTTTTGAGGTATACTTGAAGAGAAGATGTGTCGTAATTTCCCGAACGCTGCCCATCCGAGTTGAATCCTTCGATTGACCTCTCGGTCCTTGTTGGACATACCTAGTCGGACTAGTCCACATACTCCAGGCAAAGTGGCAGATTGTACTCTTTGGTCTTCTGTACAATCTTCGGTGGGATATGTATGTGGTCTATGGTACTGAAGCCTTTTCGGAAACCGGCTTGCTCGGGAGGCTGGAAGTCGTCGAGTCTGCGTGCGAGACGATTCGTAATGATTTTTGAAAACGGCACGTAGACGCGGCTTAAAGGGAAATTGATCTGTAGTCCTTCAAGA